AAAATAACAGACAATAACAGACGCCTCACACACACAGCGATCGATACTAAAGGCATACAACAAATAAAATTTAAAACACTTTTGATTATTTCAAAATCAAATATTTTAACAAAACTCAAATCTTTTTTCATTTCAGACGTTTTGTCTTTGATTTGAAGTTTATGTACATTTTGTGTGATCGCACTGTTAGACTGTTAGTTCAGTTAGCATTGATAGCACTTTTAGCACACGTTTTCTTACAGTACAGTATTATATTAGACTGCATTGTAGTTCACTGAATGTATACTATATATCGATTTTGTGTTAATCAATTTTGTAATATTTCAGTCCTCTCTTGCATTATATTTGGTTTCCTTTTAAAACAAAACGAATTTTATTTTATTAAATGAATTTCTTAAATGACTTTTACTCTTAAAATATACAGTTCTCTACAGTATATCAATAATCCAATGAATGCTTTGAATGAAGTTTTGACTTATTCTTGAGATCTATATTCAATTTATATTCACTTCTCTTTTCTGTTGTGAAATATTTTCCGTTCAATAAATTTCACGGAAACCTCGTCTAAATATTTCGATCTTTTTTATATAAATTAATGTTCAAAAGCATGAGTTCTAAACTTTTTTGAATGATTAATATGATTGAAATGTTAGGACCCGTCGGAGTGAATAAGAGAGAAACTCTCGATTCTTAAGGCAAACACTTTCACGTCTTTTCACATTCACTCAAAATATTGATCTTCTTATTTGAGAAATGGTTTGCCTTTTAAACAGTTTTTATTTTATTTAAAATTTAGTTTTATGAATAACTTTTATTAAAAATCAAATCTAGTAAATACTAATAAATTTAACTGAAATAGTTGATAAATATGTTGTTACTGTATTATAAGTCTGCAGCTTTTAGGAAATATTAAAATAATTTAACGATGAAATCAATGAAATCTAATGTAAGATAAATAATAATTTATAGCATTCATTAAAATAGAGAATATGGACTATGTTTAGGTATATTGGGTATTGGGTGGGGTCTTTGTCTCAACAATTTTACACATATTTTTCTAATAATTCGTAAAAACTGAAGACTTTCCTGAGTCACAAGTATTAGTACATTGAACAAGTACATTGAACTCAGTACTTAAGAAAATTATTGTTCAGATTTTAGTATTTGTTCACATTCATATTGCATACAGCACAATTGATATTTATAATTTGGTAAAAATTTAATGTAATGAAGAATAAATTGAATGGAACTGTATGTAC